AAGATTCAAGAATCAACTCGTTTCATCTATTTACGAGTGCAATGAATAAGATTATACAGCAAAAAGACGTTTCCAATCATTTTATTTGCTCTTTTTGAGGATAAAATTTAGACATTAAATGAAAAAATTATATTAAAATTACATTAGAATGAAAACAATTTAGACATTAAAAGGCAATGAAAGTTACTCGTAAAACCAGTAAAAACCTTTTTCTTTTGGTGCAAAGGATTTAACCATTTTGGGTTAACTTGAAGACAAACCTTGAGCTGTAAACCTTAACCTAATGATAAAACCTAAAAATTGAAAGAGATCAAATTAAAGCTGATAAAAGTTTTTATCGTTCAATTGGCTGTTCTGTTGAGGCCATCATTTACCTGTCCAACAGTAAAGTCACATTTAAAAGGGTTTTCACCTTGATTACCCAGGAAAAATGTTGAACCTGAAAAAGAAACAACATTCTGGTTTAAATGTCTTTTTCCTTTACTTTTTCTTCTCTGGTAACAATATCAGAAAGAAAGAGAGAGGTAAAGGTAAATGTCAAAATGAACAACTCGAAATGCTGTTGAAATAACCTGAGGCTTCATGTCAGGTCATTCATCTATCAATATGAAAAAAGCAAAATTTTGCCTGAAATTGGTAACAGAAAGGTGAAAAGAAAAGATGAGCCAAATATTACATTATTTATCGAGACAGAAATGACCGTAAATCACTTGAAGAAAAGGCTGATTGTATCATTTACTTTCTGTTTCTGATTTTCTGAATGCTTCTTATTCCAAGATTATCCTCATTCACAGTTATCGGAATAAATAAAGCATTGAAAATTAGCGATGCAAAAGGTTAATCCAAAGGTAACTTTAATGATTACAAGAGAGAGAAACAGATATTCATTAGTCTTCGTTATTACTCTTGTTTCCCTTTAATAATGTAATATCATGTTGTCCAGGTAAACTGCATGTAACTATCAGTTTGATCATTAAGATGAAACGATTTCACCAAAATGAAATGTTTCACCTTTCTCATGACCATCAGTTGAATAATCAATTCGGATGCAAACATTAGCCTAAATTGATGGAAGCAAATTTTTCCTGGTAAACTTATTTTCGCTTTTAAAAACCAGTTTTCTGGTTCAAATTTTTGGGTAAAATTTTCAAATGAAAAGCTTGGAAATTGAAATTTTGTAAAATTCCTTCTTCTACTTGTAATCAAATGGATTTCAAATGTTTACATTTTACTTATTTATATTGAAAACAATAACATGTTAACCATTACAGGGAAGGTTACAGGGAATGATAAAATCTCTCATTCATAATTGATTAAAGAATTGCTTTTGGAGTTTAATGATGATAAATGGAAGCTTCAGTTAAAGTGAAAAGATAAATTGGATTTGGTCAAAATCGCCTGACAATTGGTCAGTCCGTTGATGCCTTTTGCTGGGTAAAGGGTTCCATGTTCACCTTTTGTTGATGAAAATGGAGTTGAAAATGACTTTTATTATCACAGGTTGAGGATGAAGTTTACCAGTTTATAATGAGAGGAGAAAAGCTTGAATCACAATTTTCAATTAAATTTTTTTCCCTTCAAATATGCTATTAATAGATGTTGCACTCATTAATATGGATATTTTTCACTCTTAATACAGGAAGATATTGTACATTAATCAATGTTATCAATCTGTTTGATTAAAATTCAACTGATGGAGAGATAATTAATCTTTCTCAATTTTTGTGTAGCTTCGTTAAAAGTACTTGACATTAACTTATTATGATTGAACCTTTAATGTTTTACTGAAGGTGTAAATTGAATAGAGACAAGAATAATCTGTTTTGTTCAGAAATAATCAACATTCATGAGCACATCTTGAACATTTTGATAATCAAAAGCTACTTTTTAAGCAAAAAACTCAGCTTTGTGACCATTGTAAATGTAAATGTAATCCCATCATTGAATTGATCATCAGCCAAACACCTTTTTGTGTTACCAGATGAAACCTAATCCCAAATAACCTGAAATGTCTTTTTGGGTTAGGCTTTTGATCGTTAACCATTTTGATCAATCCTTCAATCAAGATTATCTTTAATAAATTACAAATCTTATCAAATAACAATTAAAATAATGAAAAATAAATTGATTGGATTTATTAGTCTGAAACAAAAGCCTGAAATGAGCCACAAAGATTGGGTCTTTCAAGGAAAAGACATTTACAGTAAACTAAACCTTCCAGATGATTTATTTGCAAGTATGTTAATCTAAATCTAAAATTAATCACACAAATAAACTCATTAATGTGTTCTAATTGAATATCAGTTAACCAATCAATAACTGTTCACTGTATCTACAGAATCTTATTTTGTAATTAACAGTCTCATCAGCATCACATCAGTTGCTAATTACAAGTTTACAATTTTGATAGTCATTAAGATTCAAAGGATATTTCATCGATCAGATCGACTATCGACTCAAAAGCACTTCCAATATTGTTGAATCACAGCTTCTGAAGTGCTTTTAAGCCGATGCACATCAACATATCAAGTTGCATGATGAACATGATGAACAATTGGAAAAACAGTTTTCATTTGTAAAATATTAATCAACTTTTTCCTTTCAGTTTGTGCCGATTGTGGTGGAAATTATACCGATGAAGAACTGGAACTTTCCCTGTTGATATTAATGGGTATCATGTGTCTATTCTTCATTATCCTCTGTTGCCAATGTTTCTCTCGTATTCTTCACCATTGTCGCCATGATGATTCAACAAACTATCCGTATCCAGAAAAATACAAAAGCCTTCCACCTCCACCTTATGTGAGAAGCGTCAACGGAGTTTAACACCAGCCATTCACTGTAACACTTTAACTTCACTTCAACCCAACAGTAAAACACTTGAAAAACTCAAACTCAGAGATTTTCAGTAAAACTCAAAAAACTCTAAAAACTTGAAAATGCTCAGATTTGCTTCTGAAATGCTCCATAACTTTGAAAAACTCAACTTTTCCATGTAAATAAATATCATTATTGTAACAAAAAAAAATCATTTACAAAAACAACCTGAACCTCTATCTCATCTGAATAATGAACAATTTGTATAAAGGTAAGTTGAGGATGAAAAAAAGCATTTAAATATTTCATGTTTTCCAGAATTTTGTTTGCAACATTTTCAAATTTCTTTGTCTTTTCCATTTAATCATTATATTAATCATTCCTTCCCAGTTTTCCAGTTGTTAGTGAATGTAAATTTGAATGTAAATTTTAAATGTGAACATTAATGATATCATTGATTTGCTTAGGCCTTTCATTTGTTTCTGCTTATATTTTACTCTTTCAAGTCATTTAGTAAATTGTCAATCTACTCGGAATGGACATTTAACTTTATTTTGAGTTAATTTCATTGTTTCCAACTATATTTAAATGGTTAATAATAGGCAGCTTCATCAACTTGTAATCATTTTCAAATGAAACTTGAAACAAAATGATTCCAGTTGACATCTTATTTTTACGTGATCTTATTTGCGTTTCACTTGTCAACTTGAATAAAGTTGTACTGAAAAAACATATTATTATCATTATTATTATTGAAACGTTATTGCTTTATACACAGGAATATAATAACTTTAATATTCAATAACAAGGTAAAGGGAAGGAAGTAAAAGTACAATTTTGTATCAATTTTCACTCAATTTAATGCAATGGTTCAATGCATTGTATTAACCTTAATATTATCATTGAAAGTGATGACAAAATAGTGAACCAAATAAAGCCTCACCGTGTATCATTATCATGTTAATGATACTATTGGTTTGGATTAAACTTGAATCATTTAATGTATCAAATTAACCAAATTCAGTGAATTTCATTCAATATTTTTGTTTTATTTCTTGTAGATTGGTGTCAATTTAAGCATTTGGTTTTCACTGGTTTACATTTTTTTGGATCGTCACTTGAAATCTGGTTAAATGGTTCCAATGGTCATCTTTAACCATCCAAACTGTACTTCAAATAAGGCCACTTTGATTCTGGTTAAATGCTCAAGTGTTTCTGCCCATGAAAATTATCGTTTAAACCTGTCTGATAATAAAGAAACCAGATTTGTCTCAATTTTGTTAAATTGAAAATAAATGTTAAAGAAGTAAAAGTCCATGTAATGGATGAGATTGATTGGAATCTATTAATATCTATTATCTATTATTATGATTATTGTTATTATTATAAAGCCAAATATTATCAATTTAAACCTATTATCATCAGTCAATGCTTAATCTGTGATCTTACAATTTTAGATCCAAATTTTTAATAAAATAAAATCAAGTCCATGATACAAGAAATGTTGTCATTTATTACAAGTATTGATTTTTGTATTATCGTCAATATCTAATGATTTAATATGAAAATTGAGGCTAATTTTCTGGTGAATTGACCGATTAAGGTTAAATTGTTTTAAAATCATTGGTTTTATTAAATTATTGCAAACGTTTAAAAACGTAAACTTTTTGATTCTTTATCAAGGTTTAATATTTGTCATTGCTTTAGCATACTTGACCAGTCCAATTGTGTTGTTTTCAATTTATTAATAAATGAATAATAATATCGTTAATATGTGAATATGTTGTTAAATATTTGTCTTGAGATCTCAAGAAAGAGAAAAGGCAATTGCGATTGAATCATGAATATATAATATAATTTTATCATTTATTTCAAGATTTATTTATCAAAGTGTGGGTTGTTTACAGGGATTTTTGCTCCATCTATTGATATTTAGTTAACATTGTAATATTTTTTTTAAAAAACTTGTAGACTCTTTGAAATAATGGAATAGAAATTTTGCTGAGAAAAGGTTTTACAGATTATTTAATTATCTTTGTTCTGGAAATCAAATTAAAAAGATAAAAGTAAAGAGCATTTTATTGATTAAAAAAATAAAAGCATGTGTTTATTTTGTCTTTTCAAATGTTGGCGCTGTAACCAACAAGCAACCGGTTACTTGTAGCTGGGGAAAGAACCACGGTTACTGGTTAGACTAACCATTTTGATAGGTAAACAGAGCATCTCTATTACTGTTTCGCTCAATTAAATTATTTTTAAACTTGATTTGATCTCTGTGATTTTTATCCTCGTCACAATGTTGACATTAGAAGCAGATGACTCTTCCCCTGACATGTCAGCGCTCCAGCAGACCGGTACTCTTATCTGTGGTCCTGGAGCTTTGCGTGCGTCCGCGATTCAGGCTGGACTGGTTAAGTTAACGCTGGAACAATACGAATCTATCACAAAGGCCAAAAAATATGCCATGGAACAAAGTATTAAAAGTGTTCTTGTTAAGCAAACCATAGCCCACCAACAGCAACAGCAAAAATCACTACAACGACACCAAGCTCTTGTACTTATGTGTCGTGTTTATGTTGGAAGCATTAGCTTCGAGTTAAAAGAAGATACAGTTCGACAAGCTTTTCTACCTTTTGGTCCTATCAAGTCTATTAACATGTCGTGGGATCCATTAACTCAAAAACATAAAGGATTCGCCTTTGTTGAATATGAGTTGCCAGAAGCAGCCCAGTTAGCTCTAGACCAAATGAACGGAGTAATGATTGGAGGTCGTAACATCAAAGTTGGTAGACCGAGTAATATGCCTCAAGCAGCGCCAATTATTGAGCAAATTACGACTGAAGCTAAAAAGTTTAATCGCGTATATGTTGCATCTATTCATGCAGATTTAACTGAACAAGATATTCAATCAGTTTTTGAAGCATTTGGTAAAATTAAATCATGTAAATTAGCTACATCACAATATCCGGGAAAACACAAAGGCTATGGTTTTATTGAATATGAGACAGATCAAGCTGCCACCGATGCGATAACTTCAATGAATCTTTTTGACTTAGGAGGTGAGTCTCTTTATTGTAATTTTATAATATTCTGAATTTTCTTTGTACTTGCAGGACAGTACTTGAGAGTTGGTAGAGCAATCACCCCACCGAATTGTTTAGATGGACCAACAGCTCCTAGCACGATGCCAACAGCGGCAGCAGTGGCTGCAGCCGCAGCAACAGCTAAAATACAAGCTATGGAAGCCACTGGCATTACCGCATCAAATAACTCATCGTCCGGAAATGCTTCTCTTGTGGAAGGTGTAACAACTATCTCTCCATCCAGTCTAACAATTCCAACGCCACTTACTATTGGGGGATCTGCAAGTCTGATGACTATCTCTGCAACACAAGTTCAGCCGGTGCTTGCAGCAAATGCACCGGGTATAATCACTGGCGTAACTGTAAACCCTTCTCCGAGTCTAATAACAACTCTTCCCATTCCTGTGGTTACTCAAGTAACGACCGTAGCAGCTCAACCTATTACCACAGCAGTTTCAACGCTTTCAAGTTCTAGCTTAAAACCTGTAGCCAACGAAGTAACAGCAAAGAGCATTGCCATCAGTCTTGCTGCTGCCCAAGAAAAAGCATCGGCCATAGCTGCTTCGAAAGAAATTGAAGCAAAAGATCAAGTCGCTGGTGAAGAGCCACAAACCTTACAACAGCAAGAAAATATAGTAATTAAGGGATCTAACGCAAGGCAGATGCTGATGCAAAAATTAATGCGTAAAACCGAGGTAATAATTTTAATAATAGTTATATAAATTGCTATAAGAAATTGAGCTTTTCTCATAAAACATTTATCTAATTTTTTTTCCAGTCAAGAGTGGTGGTCTTACGTAACATGGTTGGTGTCGAAGATATTGATGATGCTCTTGAATCTGAAGTAACTGACGAATGTGGTAAATTTGGAATTGTTAACCGTGTCATTATTTATGAAGAAAAACAATCGGAAGATGATGACGCTGAAGTTATAGTCAAAATATTTGTAGAGTTCAGTAATAGTCAAGGTAAGAAATTGAGAATATTATTTCATAGCATCATTTTATTATAATTATTATTATTATTATAATTTTATTTTCAATCAAATTAACTGGTTTCTTGTATTTTATATTTTCTTTTATATAATCACAGAGGCTATCGTAGCAAGAGACTCATTAAATGGTAGATTCTTTGGCGGACGAATTGTAAAAGCTGAAATCTATGATCAAACATTGTATGATGAAAAAGATCTCTCTGGTTAACATTTAATTTTAATTTATTGAGCTTAATTCATCAACCAGAACTTTTTTGTCACTCTCTATCTTCTATTTCTTCCTCTCTTCCTATTCTTCTTCTTTCTCTCTTTCTTAACATACACTCGCACACTTATACAAACACTTTAATTGACAAATTAAACGATATTTCATCAACCTTACAAAAAAGTTCTAATGTTTCAATTTATCCTTATGAACAATGATCATGCCATGCTACCTTTGTAACCCCAAATGTATCTAGATGTAACATCAATCGTCCAAAGAAGTTAATGATTGGATTACACTCATATGCATAACAATCATTGGTTCTGTTGTTGCTTGATGTAAGATGGGGCTGTTGTGTTTGTTGTTTTTGTTGAGAGTTTGTGATTGTGGGTTTGATTGGAGTTGGGATGCTGTTGTGATTGTACATTGCTGTTGATGGTGTGATTGTGGCTGTTGCTGTAATTGATGTTGTTGGGGTTCTTGTTGACCTTGCCTGCTGTTGTTGTTGTTGTTGCTGTTGCGCTTCTTGTACTTGTTGCTGTAATTGTGGTGTTTGAGGTTGAATTTGGTGTTGATGATTTTGTGTTTGGGGCATCGAGGATGGCTGCTGTTGGTGTTGGTGTTGAAGTTGATTCGGGTTTTGTAGCTGCTGTTGTTGTTGTTGTTGTTGTTGTTGTTGTTGTTGTTGCGGGTGTTGTTGCTGGTGCGGATGTTGTTGCTGCTGTTGTTGTTGTAATTGGGAACTTGATCCTGCTGGATTTTTAGGTCTACGTTTTCGTGTTTGAATACCTTCTTTCTTCATAGTCATTGGACGATTAACTCCATGTAATTTAAAATAGAGACCACAAGCATTACAAACTGGTGCACCTTCAATATTACGCCTCCAAAGGGTTGTTTGAGCTGTTCCACAATTTGAACATGATAGACCTGCTCGACGGTTATTTGGTATCTTCTTGTGAGGTTTAATTGGTGGTCGATTCATCCCATTGATCTTTGAATAAAGTCCACAAGCGTTACACAAATAATGGCCAGTACCGTCTCGACGCCATAAAGGCGTTGACATCGCACCACAATTAACACATTCTCTGGCTTCACCACAATATTCATATTCAGATGTTAGTTGAGTACGGTAACACGGCGAGGGAAGCAAAGCTGCGAATGAGTAGAACACAAGATTAATAACAAAAGAACAAAAAAATGAAATAAAAATAATAAATTCGATAAGAAATAAATAAAGAAAATAAGTGAATGATAAATATGAAAAAAAGTGAAACGAGAAAGAAATAAAGATTGAGCGAAGAGAGAAAAAAGTTTGATAAGCAAAAATAAAAGATAATTGATATTAATACTTTTGATTACAATCAGTAATATACTTACTTGTATAATATTGTGTGTTATGATTAAGAACCGCTGCCGGTTGATTGGTATCAACCAGATTTGCCGATGTTGTATACTGTTCAACATTTGCATAAACGGTACCAATTCCAATGGTTTCTTCATTCATTGCCATTGTGAGGAGTTTTATCGTGATTTCGATGATGATTTTGACGGAGATGATTTAGAGTGCAACTAAATCTCACTTTACCTCACTAGGCTGATCATCGTCATCATCATCATCCTCTCATTCTCTCCCTTTGTTTGCCATTGGTTTAAAAAATTATCAGAAAGAACTTTGGATCTATTTGCTTTATTGCTGCGACTCTATGGTAACAAAGTGATAAAAAAATGTCAAGTATTATCATTATGGAATATGTGTGTAAAAGTTAGTA